AATGGTAAAAATAAAAGATTCTGGGGGGCATATTTCAGCTCCCCAGAACAGGAGTGTCTTCCAAAGTACAGTATGTAAACAATTCAGTTCGATTCGCCCGCAGGCTTGTGAATAATTGTTTACATTTGAAGACGAATATATAACTTGAACACACCTTATATACAGTATTACATAACCAATTAATCATTCAAGAAAATCCACAGCGCACGCAGGCTGATAAACACCCTCCCAATGCATGTGATGGTCATACACGGAATTAACTAAAAACCATAAAATAAAAATTAATAAACTAGAATAGGCTTCAATTAATTATGTCTTGATGGCATGGATCAAATATTTCTATATAATACTGTACTCCACTCAGGCATCGGTTTATTATTTTAAAATATTGTTTAGTTGCGTATTATGGAGAGTAAATCAAGCAAATCTCTTGCGAAACCCTATGGTTGCATAGAAAAAAGGTTTCATTTCCAGATGAAATTTGCCAGATTAAAATTATTCATGCAACGTTGCTTCTTACTTCCCTTACGAGATAACGAAAGAGGTTAATTCGAATGAGTAAGCCTTAAAATATTTCCCGAATATGAGGTGCAACATCTTTATTATAGAAATATTCGGATGAATAACACTTTCAATCAGCTTTATACTGTATTTCATCGCCAGCATTTGATTCCGTTGATGCTGTTCTATGAATGGATCACGGTACGGTATTACAACCTCTTCGTCACAGCTTTCGAAACAAATTTTTGGCATTTAAAAGTCATCATCACATGTGTTGGACGCGCTCAAGATGTACTGGTACCCAATTCCTGGGATCCAACGAAATGAGAATATTCGTAAAATCAGTAGCTCCAAGGATGTTTTTCTGACGGTCGGTGAGGTTTATTTTAACAGCTGGTATTTATCCTAAGGAACTCGCCTCTCGTTAAGCGCTCAATTTTCTTTCCCTTCCTGACACCCCCCCTTGTTATAAACCATTTACCAAATGTTTCCGGCTGCTCCGTCCGTTTCTAATTCTGGAGGGTGCCATCAATATTTGCGCACAGGTGTGATGGAGAAGACGAAGTCAGTGGTTAAATCTGGGGTGATGTGCTCCAACTCCAGAGGAAAAGAAGCGCTGCTGAATCACATTCCAATTCTGAGATGGCTACCAGGATACAGCGTGAAAGACAACCTCATCGGCGATTGCATCGCTGGTCTGACCGTAGCTGTCATGCATATTCCTCAAGGTAATGCCTTCATTTTCCGCTCGAAAGAAAAACACCGAGAGGAAATTGACTCCACAGAAAATTACGCAGCTAGTGAGAAAAGCACGCAGCGGATAATTTATGCGCAGGTTTGTACGTGCTGATTCGCAGTGAACTTTTTGCAATGACGCGCATATCATTTAAAGATTTTCAGTACTAAGAAAATCTCGATATACGCGGTACTCATAACTCACGGGGACTTGTAGCGATGGAGGAATTATTCTGAACTGTATTCCATGGATATATACTCACACATTTTTTGAGGTATTCAAAGTGTTTTGTGAGCTTAAATCAGCAGGTATGCGCTTATTTTTTAATGAAGCTGGATATCAGTTTTTTGTCCTTCTGGCATCTCATAACCTTTGATTAAAAAGAAAAATCTTGATATGAATGATTTCAACATGGCATCCTTTCAATTGTTTGCTGGATTTGTTTGCATTTATTGCTGAATATAGTATTATGTCTCAACATGAGACGAAATTTCTACGCTTACAAATTTTAAAAATGCACCAACAGAATTTTTTTCAATGTCTTTAACATAAACTACATCTACCATTTCCTATACAGTATTAATAAACTGCTGCTGGTTCTTCTGTATTATTGTCATTGATTGTAAATATGGTTATTAAAAGCGTTGGTAAAAATATTAAATTCAATCTGGTTTAAAATGATTTAAAGTTATACGAAGAAATATTTTCCGATCGAGTATAGTCCTGTACTATTCGACTTTGATGATTTTTCACAATCAAATTATGTAATTAACATATGTTTTCGATGCAGTTTTAGCCAGCACTTGGAAACAATCTTCCAGAAGATGTCGTTATACTGTACTAAACATTTCACAGCAATATTTTTCTTATTTTTGTGACTCTTCCACGTTGCACCGTTCACGATAGCATTTACGCGCAGTTATGTAATTTTGTATGCTTTCCTTATGAGAGACTTTGAGTATAAATTTAAAGAATGTTTTCTATAGGAGGTTTTTGTATTTATTGGACGATCGTCTCGGGAGGAGTTAAACTATTGGAAGGAATTTGCTAAGTTGGCAGTTTTTCCTTGCCATACATTTATTAATTTTCTCAGTTATATTTTCTCGAACCAAATATTGATCTTATAATATCGATTTGACATGTTTCATATATTCTCATTCAAGGGATGGCGTACGCTTTACTCGCTGGTTTAGAGCCCGTCAACGGATTATACATGGCATTCTTCCCTGTTCTGATTTACATGATTTTCAGCACGTCGAAACATAATTCAGTCGGTAAGTGATTTTGCCCCTTGTGCTTGTGAACTCAGTTGGTACTGTACTAAGAATCCATTAATTTAAAATGATCAAAACGTTTCATTTATTGCTTTCCCGAGACAATTCCAAGTACTGCATTGCACGCGTGTGTACCTAATTTTTTCTTCACTACACAGCTCGAATGCGTGAGAGTAAACGATTTTTATGCCGATTCTGTCTCATGCTTGCTTCGCGTTTCCTCGCCAATAAAAAATGGATTACTGTATGACACGCGTTTAAAGAGGGGCTTCAACCTTGAAGCGAAATGACTCCACTGATGGTGCATTACTCAAGAATTCTTTTATTGCCCATTTTTTATCTGTATAATCCGGGAAAAGAGAAATTTGCAGTCAAAAAGTATCATCTGAGCCTGGCTGAGTCACGCGACGAAGTTATTTATGTAGGAGCCGTGCGAGGAACTTCGTCGACCTCGCCCTGTTCTCGCGGATCATCTGGGCGGGGACATCTTTTCCTCAGAATTTTTCTGCAATTCCTCAGAATTTCTATAAAAATCCTCGACTATAGTCGCTCCTTTTTATTTCGGAGGTTTGATTGGTGCATACTACAGTATTAGCAGTACTGTATACAGTATTATACAGTAGTTGCGAAGAACTGTGCAGTACGTACAGTACTGATATATACGGCTGAAAATAAAAAAAAGTAACGACATCCATATTTTCTTATTACAAGTATCATTTAATATGTCTTGATGTTCGTGAACAGCAGAGGTTGAATCGATAACCGAAAGTCCGAAACGTAATGCAAGGTACTGCAGTTCGATGACTCCAAAAGCTGACTTTAAGCTGAAATTTCAGAATCTATCAGTGAATTCCTTCCGAATTACGGCACCCTGCAGTATTTCAATGTATAGTAACACAGTCTTTCTATATAGTAATACTGTACAATGCCTTTAGAATTGAAGAGTGTGACGGTCTTTGAAATACATTTTGAAATACATATACTTTTTTCTGATGCGGTATACGTTCTCAGAATTATAATTCTATAAGAAGCTGTGCAAAGTTTTAAATATAATATACTTGTTTTTTTTTTGTGCAATAAAAATATGTCAGCCTCTCCTCAAGCATCGCGGATCACCAATTACCGTGTTCGATTCTTTTTGGATTTTGACACATACGTCGGATTCCGCCTGTGAAAAAGTGCACATTTCCAGAGTCAAAAGAATTTTTTTGCATAGCCTAAAATTAGATTGTATTGACTAGAGAAAATGAGAAATGTGAGTGGTATTTTTTTTAGCTCCCATATACAGTAGTTTGAAATTTTAAGAATTCCTTTCATAGCTTATTTAATATATTGATGAAGTTAAACATTTATGACTTTTTGCTTTGGAATCACTGATTAGCAGTTTCGAGAGCCAAAGGGGGAATCCAGGATTATTTTCCAAAAGTATTTTCTCTTTTTCTGATAATAGGTGGTTCATCCAAATATTGCTCTCAACAATGTATAGTTATGCGTACCTTGAAATATGAGTAATTAAACTTCCTGTCTTTTTCTTTCGATGAACATTTTCAAATTATCACTTTGATGATGGTTATACTACGACATTTACAAAATAAAAATCATTTCTCAGGAGGATTTTGTGTTGTTTACTTTAAAAGTTTCTTAAATTGATTCTCAAGAAAAATGTTCAATTTGTGTTTTCTTCCAAAAATGCTACTGTACTCGTACATATACGAGATATAGACAGAATTTTTTTTTTTAAACGGCGAACAGTTCATCAACTAATACAGCTGGGAGATCTCCTGAGTACTATTAAACACACATATATGTAATGAAACAATCATTGTACAATTGTTTCTATGCTAAAAATTGTAAGAGGGAATGTCCACCAAAAATATTTTTCTAAANCTTTGCTCACTTTCAAATCCCTTTTCGTTTTCGCAACCTAAATTCATTGACACCGATTTCGAGATCAACTTTCTAACTCAATTCCCAGCTAGTGCTTGCTTGCTGGGGGCGAACGAATCTATATTTTAATAAAAGGTCAAAGTCCATTATAAACAAGCATTCAAGTATAGCAGTGTATGTGGGGTTGCATCCACGTGGCATGACCTGAGTGCAGCATCCTTGCTTGGGCACGCCAATGTCCAACGTAGTGGCCCACAGACCTGGAAGCGGATTGGCACCCGGTTTACTGCAATGCGGCAAACCTGATGGTGATTAAAGATAATGATCAGGAAGGCGGCAAAAGCCCAGCAAAGTCCCCAAAGACTTCACTTCTTGGATTGGATTGCCCAACAGCGGTTATTGATTCTGAGAGCTCTGTCTTGTCTGATTGACATGTACAAGTGTCTGAAAGTCTTGTAGATTTCCTTCTGCAGTTGCCTGTGGGTCTGAGATTAAAGTGTGCTGCTTTAAGGGACTCCCTTTCGGAGGATCCGGCCATCAAAGGCTGAACGTGACTCCTCTTCATTTTCTAATTATCTGTTGTTATCGACCCGACAGTGTACAACAGAAGTTTTCCGTGTTCCGTCGGAAATTCGTCACATGTTATATATACGTCACAAGAGGGTGGAAAACCTGAACGCCTGGTCTTTTACAGGTATTAAAAAAAACGTCTAACCGCCTGTATAAAATTTATGGACGGTACTGTAAAAGGTTGACTAACTTTCATTCATCGCAAGAAATAAGTTGAGAATCAATGAAGCAGCAATAGTGGAATGTTTAAAAAAAAAGTTAGAAAGCCTTGCCGCTGCGTGTCAGGGTCAGGGAAGTTATTTCAGAATGAATACAGTGCTTGAAATACTGTAATTCATCTCAGCTGGTGAAAATTTATCTGAAGTAATGATAGGAGAAAATCCACTTTTTATTTTCATCATATAATTTCAACTGCCTTTGTCTTTCTGAAAGTTCAGATAAAGATAGTAGACTTAATTTCTTCCTTATTGATGTATTTATAATGCTGAAGGAAATGTCCTGTATGTATAACTCGACAACCTTCTTAAAACAAGGGAGGCATTGTTTATATTCTATTTAAGTCACGCTGCTTAACTTAACAGTCTTTTTACGATTCGAAGAAAACGTTTTAAGACCGTCAAGTAGCTCTTCTTTTGAAGCGCACATTTTTGCAGTAAACAGTGCTCCTGGTGAAAGAATTCTGTTGCACAAATTGTTGTCCAATGTACGGATGAATACAGAACTTCTAACTAATGAAAAATGTTGCCTGTTCGAAGTATTCTAAACTGTCGACAAAAATGTTCCTCGAAATGAAGGGGAATGTTTCACCCACATACATTATGCACAAATACTGGTTTTTTGATGCAGTAGTATGATGTACCTTATATATTCGTCAATTCTGTAAAGGCGGAAAAAGAATTTCTGGAGTTGTGCGCTATGCGAATCTATAAGATTTCTTACATTTACTTGACGAAAGATAATAATTTTTTGCATCTGTCAAGTCTGGAAAAGTTGGCCGAAATGAATCTATAATCGGCCTTGGAAATTTTCCGCGACCTTAATAATTTTCCAAGCTGTTTGTGCCCATCTATTTTAGAGCCCAGCTGTTTCCCCAGAATTTCGCTGCTTGTTATCTTATATAGGTCCATGTTGTCTGCGAGACCAACAAAACTGGAACGAAAAATTGTAAACGAGAATACTCTGTAATGAGAAAGTCACTGATTGTGCCCGACTAATGCACATGTACTTTCTTCTAATCCAACCTCGCGCCTCCTCTTGGTCGTCTGTCTACTGAAACCTTTCATATGAAACAACTGCAAAAAAATTCATGGTTTGCTTTTGAACTACTGCTGTATATTCTACTCTGTTGATAAACAGTTGCTGATGGGACTTCTGCGACTTGGTGCGTTGTCAGTGTTGCTGTCAGACGTGCTCATCAGTGGATTGACCACAGGTGCGAGCATTCACATTCTCACTTCACAATTGAAAGGTATATTCGGAATACCTGTGCCAAGGATCACGGCATTCCCCAAACTGATACGGGTAAGCACGAGAAACTTCTTTCGTTAAAAAATGAAAAATGTTAATTGTTCGACCCCCTTACTTTTTTTTCGAATGTATACTGCTGCATATATGATTTGCTCCATCAAATTCGACGAATTCATATTTGTGATGGAAAATATAATAGGTCCATTTGCACATCATCAACCATATTTACGAATCAAACGTCGTTGCCCTGCTCGTCTCTGCTGTCACCATGGGGGCATTGGCCGTCAATAATGATTTTATAAAGGTTGGTGTTTGTTTTCTGAATCTATATATATTGTAGCTGACATTCGAAAACTATTTATTTACTTATTTTGTTTTCAACAGCCATGGCTTTCAAAGCGCTGTAGGTTCCCTGTGCCGATAGAATTGATTGCTGTTGTCGGCGGAACCTTGTATTCCTACTTCATGAAACTTCACGAACGCTACGCATTGCCGATCCTTGGCAGCATTCCGACGGGGTGCG